GGGGGGCAGGAGGGGGGATAACAGGGGAACCCGTGGCTGATACGTAGAACTGAATGGTATTGTAAAATAAAATAATAAAAAAGATTCACAGCCGGGTGGTGGTGGCGCACTCCTTTAATCCCAGCACTCGGGAGGCAGAGCCAGGCGGATCTCTATGAGTTCGAGGCCAGCCTGGGCTACCAAGTGAGTCCCAGGAAAGGCGCAAAGCTACACAGAGAAACCCTGTCTCGAAAGACCAAAAAAAAGATTCACGTTTATATCAAAACTAATTTTTTTTTCTGGTCTTAAGAACTTTTTGGTTTTGGTTTGACAAGTGACCTGAGGTGTTTAAAGCAGTCATATTGGAATTTATAAAAAGTAAAAGTGAGGATTGAGGAGATGGCTCAGTGGTTAAGAGCTCTGGCTGCTCTTCTAGAGGAACTGGGTTCAATTCCCAGCACCCACATGGTAGCTCACCACTCTCTGTAACCCAGTTTCAGGGGATCTGACTCCCTCACACAAATGTGCATGCAGGTAAAACACCAATGCACATAAGATAACAATAAATAAATTATTTTTTTTAAAGTGAAAGTGGGGTGCAGGCAGAACAGCCGAGGGGTTTGTGTCTGCGTCTCGCCCCTAAGGCGGGCTCCGTTACCGTGGGCTCTGTGCTGCAGCTCCATGATGAAGTAGTGGATCACCGACATGATGTCACTGCTTTCGCAGGTGCTTCCCACGAAATACGGGATCATCAGCACCCCTGGATGTTTGCTTTTGAAATACTTGACCCAGCTGGCGATCAGAGTAGACTTCCCACAGCCGCGTTCTCCAGACAAGAGCAAAATAGACTTATAAGCCGGAAGAGCATTTATTCTGAAAAATAGAAGGCAAAGTGGTAGGCACGAGTCTTTACCAAGGAGGAGGAGGAGAGAAGACATTTTCGTGGGTACATTTTCCCTCTAAGTTAGTAGGCTTGGCTGGCCTCAGAGAAGTCATTCCTCCTTGGAGCTGCAGCTACGTAAGACATGAGATTAGGAGAGTAGAGACAGAGTAACTTTGGAAGGTCCCTCTGCCTAGACAGACCCTAGGACTGTCCGACATGAACTTCAAGCACAGTCAAGGGCTCAAGGCCTAGGGAGGAAAAGGTCACCACCCCGGCCCACTGTCCTATCTGTCTGTCCACTCTGCCCGCCTCACTGCCACCAGGCTACCCTTGGCGACTTAAGCCACATTGGAAGAGAGTGAAGAACAGGAGCACCCATATGTGGTGGTAATCTAATTGTATTGAAATATTATTTTGATTTGTACTGAAATATTAATTTGATTGTATGTTAATAAATAAAGTTGTCTGGGGGTCAGAGCTATTAGAGCCATAGCAAGAGTGTGGCGGTGGTGGCACACGCCTTTAATCCCATAGATATCTGTGTGTTCAGGGTCAGAGCTATTAGAGCCATAGCAAGAGTGTGGCGGTGGTGGCACACGCCTTTAATCCCATAGATATCTGTGTGTTCAGGGTCAGAGCTATTAGAGCCATAGCAAGAGTGTGGCGGTGGTGGCACACGCCTTTAATCCCATAAGATCTCTGTGTGTTCAGGGATACAGCCAGCATTGGAGACATATGCCTTTAAGACCTAGGGGGCTGTACATTCAGACAGTGACGAGGCAGTCATGTGTTTGGGTTTACAACCAATGAGAAGGCAGAACAACATACTTTAAAAATACGAACCGAGAGGAAGTAGGTCTCTTTTCGCGAAGCTGGGACAGCAGGAGGAAGGGTGAGATTTTAGCTCTGAGCTCTGACCTCTCGGCTTTCTCTTTTACATTGTTTCTGTGTTTCTTATTTAATAAGACGGTTGGTTACATCTACACCCATACACCAAGAACGCGTGTCAACTCCGAAACCCGCAGAATTGGAATTCCAACTAACTTGGTTTGGTGACAGAGAAGCGCCTGCGGCTTCGCCAGGGTGTGTTAACTGGTAACTCCACTTAAACAACTGTCTAGGTTCTGGCAACAGCTTGTCTTGGTGCTTAGTTGTTAGTGAAGTTTCTGGATATGCAGAGGCACTTCCGGCCTGTGAATACCACGACAGAGACTCTAGCCTTGTGACTTACAGTTATTTTATTTTTTACTTATTTCTTTTTGAAACAGGGTCTCACGTTGCTCAGGCTGGCCTCACACTTCCTAAGTAGCCAATGAACTCCTAAGGTGCTCTAGAACCCCTAGTTCTTCCCCTCAAGCTCCCCAGCGCTGGGATCATGGGCACGCACCACCTCCTCGGACTTGTGATTATGATGGATTAGTGTGTATCAGCTAGTTTTAGTAGTGCCGATTTGTAATCTCTGCTACTTGGGACACTGAGGCAGAAGGATCACAAGTTTAAGGCCATCCTAGATAAAGTAGTGGGACCCTGTTTCAAGAAAAATAAAGAAAAATGCCTGGTGGTGGGTATATAGTTCAGTAGAAGAATGTTTGCCTATCATACACACATGAGGCCCCAGGTTCGATCTCTAGCACCAGTCATATGAAATATGTGTGTGTCTGTGCCTGTGTGTGCACATGTGTGTATGTATGTGTGTAATGATTTTCCACTGAGGATAAATATCATGAGGAATTATCTTGCTATTGACTAGGACAGCACCTGACAACAAGTTGTTGAGGGAATAAATGACTGACTGAATGAAATGAAACACATGAGCAAGAATTCAAATTCAGCAGTGAAAGAGGATTGGTTAGAAAACTCACCGAAATAAAAACTGTCAAGTAGTCATTAAAAAGTAGTTAGTTTGCAATAATTCAATCTTCATTGATATGAATTAGGAATCAATGCTCTATTACTTAAATGCCTTCATCAATAATTTTCTTTCTTTTTTATTTTTATTTGGGGGTGGGAGTGTAGAGCGTTTCGAGACAGAGTTTCTCTGTGTAGCCTTGGCTGTCCTGGAACTCACTCTGTAGACCAGGCTAGCCTCGAACTAAGATATCCGACTACCTCCCGAGTGATGAGATGAAAGGCGTGGGCCACCACTGCCAGACTTTCACTGATAATTTTCAAAAGTGGGATTTTATTTTGAGTCCTCCTCCTACCTCTGGCATCAGCCAGCGTGAGCTTATTGAGCTCTGTCATACAGGCGACCTGTGAGACAAGATGGCCATCAGCTCACCTCCACCTTCACCCCCTGCCGCTTCCCCTGCCTCTGGCTGCCTGGAATCTCCCGCTATTTCTCTAGCCTCAGGGCTTCTGTATTTACACTTGCTTCTGTCTGGAATGTTCTCCCAGGCCGTGTTTGCTTAGCTGGCTGCCTCCCACATCTCTTAGTTCCCAAACATCACTTGTCACCCAGGGCTTTCCCTCAGCCTATCAGCTGGCCCCTTTCATTTCAGTGTCGCACACAGCCTATCAGCTGGCCCCTTTCATATTTCAGTGTCGCACAGTGCTCCGTTGGCTCTCACTGCACACTTCACACACGCTGTTTAGTGCCTGTGTGCAGGGTCAAATGCCACAGAGGCAGGGGCTTCAGCTCTTTTGTTCCCTGCCGGACCCTGTGAGTCTGAAACTGTATGTGTGTGGCACTAAGCAGGTCAAATCAGTGAGCACAAAGACGTGTGATGCGTCCGTGTAAACAGAGACAGAGTCATCACCTTTTGGTTTTGGTTTTGGTTTTTCAAAAACAAATGAAAACATTCTTACCAAAAAATTCTTTTGATAAAAGGTTGATATATGACCCGGAAAGGTGGCACACGCTTATAATTTCAGTACTCAGGAGACAGAGATAGGAAGGTGGCCAGAAGTTCAAGACCAGCCTAAACTATACAATGAGTGTGAGGCCAGCCAGGACTACACAGTGAGATCTCATCTGAGAGAGACAGAAGTAAAGAAAAAGAAGTTGGTATCAAGGCCATGCTTTGCACCTTAGAACAAAGACCATTCCTCTGTTGACTTACACACGGTGTTCAGGAACACACAGTACAGAGCCCCGTTCCAGATCATAAAGCAAACAGGGCCCTGAGTGTTTCTATCCAGGTCAAAAGACTATCTTATCACTGTGTTTTTACTGGGTCCAATTTAAATTCTTCAATTACAACTAAATTTATTTAGTTGCATGATATATGATAATATATGATACTGATATATGATATGATATATATATATGATATAATGATAAACTATTAAAAAATAATAAACAGAATGAGAATCTACAAAGCCCAAACCTCAGTGTTCAAGTACACGGCTGATTTTCATTATATAAGGATCTATGATCGTCATTGCTATTTAACTCCAGAGCATGTCCAGTATCCAAAAAAAAAACCCCTCTGTCCCTTTTAGTAGTGACCCTCCCCTCATCCCACTCCCACCTCTCAGCAGCCACTCCCTAACTCTCTGTCTCTGTGGACTCACCTATCCAAGCCTAACATTTCTAACCATAACCTACGCATTCTCCTATAGTCTTAAAAACATTGGCTGGCCGGGTGGTGGTGGTGCACACCTTTAATCCCAGCACTCGGGAAGCAGAGGCAAGCAGAGCCAGTGAGTTCAAGGCCAGCTTGGGCTACAGAGTGAGTTCCAGGACAGACTCCAAAGCTACACAGAGAAATCCTGTCTCAAAAAAACAAAAAGCAAACAAACAAAAAAATTTGGCTGAGTATCATGCTGTAGTGACCTAGCATGAGCACCCAGAACTACCCGAAAGCTCCCTGGCCACTCTGAGTGCCCTGTGATGGGAGTACTAAGCCTAGGATGGGAACTTCGAAGGCCAGCCTGTACCGTGCCAGCTACCGTGGCTTTATTTCAAATCACAAAATTCTTACAAAATAAATGAGATCTGCGGCAAGAGCCAGAAGAGGAGAATGAAAAACCATTCTACGGAGTCTTCGCCTCTCTAGAAATGAGACTTGGAGGGACAGTGGCGACAACTCCAGCTCTCTGACTGTCACCCTCATCTGAGCAGTAAACGGGGTCTGCCACCACCGTTGGAGATACGGGGGTTGGCTGTACTGTGCAGGACGCCAGGTAAACCAAAAAGGACGCCAGATAAACCAGAAAGGACGCCAGATAAACCAGAAAGGACTTCGTGCATTGTGCGTAATAACTGGATTCCTTATTAACCCAAACATGATATGGCCCATATTCCAATAAGTGCTTGGTGAATAAATTAATATAATTTATAATGATACATGTAGAAGCTCTTTGTAAATGACATAATACTATCCAAACATATTCATTTTCCCTAGTTTCTTTGGCTTACAGTCATTCCACAAGTCTCAGGGATTTGTTAAGCAAATTTTGATGTATGACACTGGAAAAGGATAGGTCCTCGGCCCTTCGGAGGTTTTTCATCTTGACACTGTGTGAAATACAGAAAAGCTTCAAAAAAGCAGAGTGATCACTAATATTCTAATTGAAGCACGGCTTCTACAGTCCTTTTCTTTTCTTTTCTTTTCTTTTCTTTTCTTTCTTTCACCTAATTTTTTATTTAAATTTTTGCAATTTTTAAAAATTAAAATATAAGTACATAATGTCCCCTCCCTCTCAACCCATGTCCCCCATTCCCTTAAATTCATAACCTCTTTTTCCTTCATTATTATTACATTTTATATACATACATAAATATATACGTATAACCCACTGAGTCCGTATCGTGTTGCTTGTATATATGATTTCAGGGCTGACCACTTGGTATTAGATAACAAATTAGAACGCTCATCCCCAGGGAAGACTAATTCTCCCTCTCTCAGCGGCACTTAGTTGCTTGCAGTTCTTTGTCTAGGGTAGGGGTCCCGTGAGATTTCCCTCTTCCTCATTAGCATGTCTGTTGGAGTCGTCACAGTTCAGGTCTGGTTTAGGCAGCCATACTGCTAAGGTATCACGAGTGTAGACTCTCACAGGGTCTTTCTTACAGAAAGTTACGGGAAAAGGGAGGCTAGACACTCTGGATTTGGAGGTTCACATACATGAAAGCCAGGCTGCTTTGTGTTAGCCCCGTAAAAGAAATGAGGACTTCCGAACCTCTTACCTGAGAATGGAGTTCAGCCCCAGACCTGCACTGTCGGAGTCAAGCTCAACATCTTTTAAGGCAAATCTTTCCAGTATTTCAAAGGTCCTGTTTGACTCCTTGGAAATAACAAAAACTTGCTCACACTTCTCAGCAAACTCTTCATGATACAAATATTCAAGACTGTGTTTGTAATCTTAACAGTGAAAAAAGATAAGGAAGTGTTAGATTTGTAGTTTCACATCTGCAGTTCTGTGTGACTCTTCTAAGGCCCAGGAAGGAATCTTCTGTGTCTATAGCGCTTTCTCTCTATGGTTGTATCATATTATATAATATA